GTCTCTCTCTCTCTCTCTCTCTCTCTCTCTGTGTGTGTGTGTGTGTGTGTGTGTGTGTGTGTGTGTGTGTCTTTTAGGGTTTTGTGCCTAAGACAGAGCTTAAAAATCCTTCAAATATTGAATTCTGTATGAATTTCCTTTATTTTATTTTATTTTTACTGTAATGGGGTTGTTATCCCAGATCATTTTGGGAGGAGTTTCCTAGGCTCTCTCACATGCTCTTTAGTGTTTGCTAACTCTGTTAGAGGAGACTTTGGAATAGTTTTCTTGTAGTATTTGGGTTTCTGGAACACTCTATTCATTAGCATTCAGCTTCTGAAGAATTTTACTGCTCTGTCTAATCCAACAGAAGCACACATGGACCATTGTACAGATATTTTCATTTCATCATTACAGTAATAAAATATTGAAAACAACAAAGATATACAAGTAGACAAGTGACAAAATTATAATTGTTTCTATTGTGGAATAACATGGGAAATTTATGAGTTAAATATGACTATATCATTAAAGTAGACAAGGTCCGCCTTTGCCTCCACAGTGTGATTCTTTCTTTGTGTGCACAGACTAATATTTAGGAAGAATCCCAGTGGCCAGGATTAGTTCTTCTGTGTAAAGGATGGAAGACTTTTTTTTTCTTTCCTACATGGTTACCCTGACTGTTAAAAACATTCAAAACAAGCCAAAGTATGGTTTTTAATAACAAAAGTTGCAGAAAGGGCAGTAGACAGTCTTGTTCAGATGGCCTCAGCCCTGAGGGAGTGTGTTCATACTCACTTTCTGACACAGGGATTTGCCTCTGGATGTTTGCAGGGTGAGTCAGAACGGAGAGCTTGGATAAGGATGGAAGTTGGAATAGTAACTAGTACTAAAACTTAAGGTTTTTAATACTAACCTGTACCCTGATTTCATACAAAGCCCAGATGCAGGCTTCTGGATTCTTGGTGTTGAGAGTCAGAACGGAGAGGTCAGGTGTGATGGAATTTGGAACACAGTAGAAAGTTCCTATCCGAATACTAACATGTGCCCTCCTTTCTCACAAAGCATGGATGTAGGCTTCTGGGAGGCTGTCTGAATGTTTCTAGTTCTTGTCGACTTAAACCAGTCACATTCTGCCCCTATCATTGGTTCACATAGACTGGACCTGTAGTTCCTGAGGATGCTGCCTTAAGTAAAGCAACAGGATGTAAGAACTGTCAACTCTTAAGTCTTCCTGCTTGTATTTGGTCTGAAGAGTGGTCATTGGCTTCTTTCCAACTTTATATCAGATTCAGTAACACACTTTTTGTTTACACAGCAGAGACCCTTGGAGGATAAGTGATCACCTTGAGACTCAGGCCCTGGCCCAGGAAATGTTAATTAGCCTCTCTCAAAAAATAGTACTGGGAATTAAGTCTCACAGGCATCTAGGGAAGATGCTCCAAGCAGACCCATGAGAAAGCTGCCTCCATGTATGAGTCAGTGTAATGGCCTTGTGGGGACTTAAGCAATAACCGTGGCAGTGGGAGAAAGTGAAGTGTTTTGTGTGTGTGTGTGTGTGTATGCTGCACCCCCTCTACACACACACACACACACACACACACACACACACACACACACACACACACACTGGTTTTATTAGAGTGTTTTGAGGACTGTGGTTTGACTGGTTCAACAGTGGCTGTCTCTCAACAGAAAAGCCAAGAACCTTTGCTCAGTCCATGAGGCTGGATGTCTCAGCTGGTTGTCATTCTATATTGGTATCTTGAGAAGTAGGTCTTTTTCTCTTTCCCCCTCATTTTCCCTCTTTCATTAAACACAGATTTTTTTCTCATTTTCTCATACAATATAATCTCAATACTGTTTCCTTCCCTCTATTCCTACCCACCCCCTCTCTCAACTGACTCCACTCCCTTTGTGTCTCTTGTTAGTAAACAGAGTTCTAAGTGATAACAACAAAGCAAAACGAAACAAAATAACTGTCATATTGAAGTTGGACAAGACAAGCCAACAGAAAATTAAAGAAGAGAAGGCACAAGCATTAGAGACCCACTTGTTCACACATTCGGGAGCCCCATAAAAGTATCAAACTGAAAGTTTATATGCAGTATATATGCAGAGGACCTGGCACAGACCCACGTAGGCCCTCTGACTGCTGATGCAGTGTTTCTGAGTTCATATGACCTTTGCTCATCTGTTTTAGGGGGCCATGTTCTCTGGTGTCCTCTCTCTCCCCCACTTCTGGCTCCTCTTTCATGGGATTCCCTGATCTCTGAGGGGAGGTATTGGATGGAGATATCTCATCTTTTGTGTCTGTGTTCGTCTCTCTCTCTCTCTCTCTCTCTCTCTCTCTCTCTCTCTCTCTCTCTCTCTCTCTCTCTCTCTCTGTACTGTCTGTCTGTGTGCCTCTGTATTTGATTCCGTCTGCTGCAGGAGAAAGCCTCTCTGATGATGGCTGATGATAATCTGTCAGTAGAACAGGATATCATTAGGAGTCATTTGTCAGGTGTTCTGTGTTCTGAGGGTCAATCAAAGAAAGAGGGTCACTCCAAGATGTAACGGAGGAACGGTTTCCATGAACTGAACCCTGAACAGCTGTACTAATGCATATTTATTGATTTTTACACAATATTTTGAGTAAAACAATATTAGCCCCTGATCTAATCTATGTGTTTTCTGAAGGAAAACATCACATCCCTGCAACTTTAGTCCTTCTCGTGTACTGTTTGCAGTACCCAATAATGCAAGACACTCCAAGTGTTCCAGGCCCATCTTGTGACCAAAGTTATGCCAAGGCTGTAAAGTTCCTTCAGAAAAGCAACACTATAGATAAAGAAAACAATCACTATTTTCTTTTTTTTCTATTTTTAAGTTGAATTAGAAACAAGATTGTTTTACACATCAATCCCAGTTCCTTCTCCCTCCCCTCCTCCCCTGCCCCCCACTAACACCCTACCTATCC